GGAGATCCAATAGTCCACGAGGTCGGTTCGATTGTGGAACTTACTGAAGCAGGAAAAAACTTCGGTTCAGGCGAGGAGCACTGAACTCACCGTAGGGAGCGATAATTCCCTCATAATTGAAAAAAAATATTAAAAAATCCGATGAGGTTGACCGCGAACTTCAAAAAAATCGAATCGCTGCGAAATATTGAGAAAAATTCCGCGGGAATCTTCTTCACACAAGTGCACGGTCATAGATGTTATGTTCATCCTTCGACGCCTCGTAGCGCAGTATTGATATCGCCGAATATTAGCCCACCCGTGCTCCCTCGTCCACTGTTCCAATGCCGGAGTATTCCAGGCATCTCCGACCTCATCGCCTCCCAGATGAACCACTCTCTCACCTGAGAAGTTTCAGACGAAAAATCACAATGGACATCACAAAGTTTTTCCGAAAGTTGAGAGCCACAATGACCGTTGCACTCAACATACTATTCAGAAAATAGAAAGTTGGTATGAAAGATTGATTTTCATTGTTCAAGTTTGTCTTCACGTCATGGACTCCTTTACCTTTGGAATCACCTTGATGACGAGCATGCACGAGATCGAAGTACTTCGATTTCGTGCGCGAGCGAGTTTAGTCATCAATAGCAGATCATGATAATCATCGAAACTGAATTTACAGGAAGTTCTCTTTCATATGGCATTCTTAATTTTCTGCGCCTTTATCGGACACTTCATCGCAAAAACCGGTTACCCGTGAAGTAGGTTATCACCTTATTACCATTATTTACTCTTCCCTGCCCACAGTAGAACAACTCGACGACCTCCGAGATCACATCAACCGCCATCTTGCTGGTCCGTCCACTGATAGGGTCCATCCAGTAGTCGGCCTCTCCTGTGAGGAAAGGGTATCTACCAAAGCAGTCTGCTTTAAGCAGAAGTTTGCCGGCAAAGATCAACCTCGCTCTGAAAGCAACATTCCTAGCTTGATGTACAGCCTGAAGAACGTCGGTGCGTGGTAGTCTAACTGAGCCGTATAGTCGGCGTTGGACTTTAAATTTATAAACAACCAACTACTCGACAAAGGACAACGACCAGCGAAAAAACTTCAGACCAGTCATTTTTGATGATGCGCGATTCCGCATGCGGTAGAGCTATCCTGGGCAACCAGACGCCGAGTGATGTGCTTGGCCAGGGTGTCTCAGAAAACCGAGAGTCACACAAAATCTGCGAGTTTGAAGCCCGAAACGAGCTGGCGACTGCCGGGGTGAATGAGCCCGGCTGAGGATCTGTCTCACGGAGCATATATTCCGATTGAGCAGATTAACATTGAAAATTCAAAGCCCTTTGCGGCAAGGCAGCAGGGATTGGGGGAGGGACTCACCCTCGAATCCAACTGGTAGTGTGAGCGGGGACATCTATTTCCGGTATAACCTTGATATTCATACTATTAGCATACTCAACAACCTCCTTCACCTCGGCCGCAGTGTACCTGAGGGAAGATCATCATAGAAAACGTTTCGGAAGTTCTTGTTAGCGTCCAAGGGCCTCATCCATGCCATTCGAGACGCCTTATAGACTTTTGAAGCCTACAGAGTGATGGTGCAGCGTGAGAGGCGTTAGTTCAAAGCTACTATCGAAGTCGTCGTGGAGTCGTGTTGGCCGAATTATACGATAGAAAATCGTCACGGCGCGCGTGGCCCTCATGTCCGAGAGCTTGCGGACTCTTCGTTCGCGGACTAGAAACGTATCCTTACGCAATTCCTCTCCCAACGGTGGTCGAACGAACAGAAATTCCCCTCCTCAGATCGGAAAAATCGAACTTACGAAACAGGCGTTGGGTTGTTGAATTGCAACCGGCTGTAGTTCTCAAGCTGCACTGAGAAACTGATGTCATCAGATATGTGCCAATGAAGGACATTCATCTGAACGCGGATGAGCGAAGACGTCAGCTCTCGCGAGCAATCACCGCTTGGAGATCTGTGTTGGTGAGTGAAGATTGAGAATTTGGAAGGCAGTGAAGGGTAAACTGGTTCGAAAAATTAGGCCCCAGCCAGCATTCAAGAAACTGATTCTAGCGCCGTATTTCACACGGGAAAACTGATTCCAGAAAGAATCGTTCGCCAACTTCAGAGCGCTGAGTTTCTAGAACAGGCGACAAGGTAGTCGTGGATGTATCATTCTGATAGAAAGTATCCAGTTAAGTGACGGGCGAAATTATCGTTACAATGGAGATGACAGAAGCTTTCCTCATACGTCGTGCTGTACATGGTACGATCGCCACGTCTCTCGGTGCAAGGGCCACCGGCTGTCACGCCAATTTTACACAATAGTGGCCGTCGGAACCTCTGCACTTTTCTACTTAACCACTGAGCGAAGTGGGATAGATTAGTCGGGAAATAAAAGGCCGATAAACAGAGGACTCATAGGGAATACAATAGCTATGAGACAGGAGCGTTACAGCAACTTTGTGATAGGAGCAGCAGGATACCCTATCCTGGCACGGACCCAACTTAAATGAATTTTGTGATAGGAGAGGGCAACACCTAGCTGCATTCCTCTCACGCCTCACCTTGACCCAAGCCATCGTGTGAAGATTCTTCTTGATCAGGTCCACAGGAAGGTACCTCCGCCCAGTATCGATGAGCATCCCTCTGTGAGGGAAGGAAGGGTAATCGGTGATGTTGAAACCCGTGTTAATGATCGAGGTCAGACCGTCTGCGTGATTGCGCGAGATTTGAAACTGATGAAAAAATGGGAAATCGACCACGCTCGTCCGAGAGAGAAACAGCGGTATCTTCTGCTATTCCCGTATCGAAGTCAATCGAAATAGTCTCCGCGAGATCGCAATGAGAAACTGCAGGAGACGGAGTCAAAACTCACCGCTGTGAGCATGCCATAGAAGAAGCCGCTTGTGGTGCTGAACTTGAGATGGCAGAGTTGTGAAGTGCAGTTGAACTCGTATGCTCCATCCACCAAGCCAACATGATATTCTACACTCACCGCCACTGGGCGAGATGGCGCTGAGGGCACACCACAGTTGAGCTGCATCGCACACTGACAGTTTGGCGGAGTGGTTAAAGGCTTCTAGCGCTAACCACAAGGGCGTTGGATCGAACCCAACACTCGTCAAATCATAACCATCTTCATCGCTTTCAGCCCGGGCAAGCTACCATAAAAGAGCTCAACCTACTTGTTATTTGCATTCCGTTGGAGAAGTTATTGAGAACGAAGTCTAAGTCCTCTTGTACAACAGGGCCGCCGTTGGCCTGCAGCTCGAAGGTAAAATAACTGCCATAATTGTCCCCGGTCTCTGAGACAAACGCAAATACCCGAAGACTGGTGAGCTCTTGCGATGATCGGCGTTGCGATTCGCCCCCGGTAAACTTCGTCTTGCCGAGAACTCCGCACGCCGACCAACCACAAGACCTCAGCTGCGCCCTGCTCGGAACGGCTAGGGGAATGGTGAACTTTGACGAGAAGGGAACTTTTACCTATTCCAGTAACAGAAATTGTATAAGTATAGGTTTGGTAGTTAGATAAAAGCCTCGAATTAATATAATTAGTATAATAATAAACATAAGATAAAGGATAGCCTAATAATACAATATAATAACCTCCTCGTTACTCGACGTCCTTCCAACGCTGTTGACCGTTATCGACTTCGGAACTGGCCAGATCATGAAGGGTGGTTGTGGAGGCGTGGCAGCTTCGTTTCCATTTCCCGCGACACTCGGGCACCTGAAGTTCATGTTAAGTGCTGGCAGGCAGAGTTCTCGGTGATACCACATTTCTCCCGAAAGGAACTCAGAAGGTAGCAACTCGGAGATATCGATCAGATCACTCGATTCAGAGCGAAAGGTCTAGGGTTCAAATCCCCGTCGGGCTTACATGGTGAGTAGACACAATGTCGCGGCAGCTGCCGCATGGCCTAGAGTCCTGCGAGTAAACATGTAGGAAACCCCAGGCAACTGAGCGGACCGCAGGAGATACTTTTCTCAGCCGACGAGCCACCTCAAAACGCTGGAAGACATAATTTCCAAACTTCGCTATGATTCCCCTTGAGGAACTCGCGCAACACAAACAGAATTTACGGTATCATCAACGTTGTGAATGGGGACGATAAATTGCATCATGCCAAGTCATCCATGGCGTGACTCGGTGAAGTCTTGGTGGACTTGTCGGAACTTCCTCTGAGTCTGAAGACACAACAGCGCGCTCTGAGAGCAACATTCCTTGGCTTGATGAGCAGGGCCTAGTCAACTGGCTGAACTGATCCCCCCTCAGAAAGGCACATCGGTGATAGTCTAACCAAGCCGTACTATCACACGCACAAAAGGGCGCAGGTTCGATCCCGGCGCCGTTGAGTTCACTCAGTAGATCGTCAGATGTCTTCTCCACGAGCGTTCGATTAACCCCGCCGCTCGTGAATAATCTAAGGATCTCTCTCTCGATGAATCACTACTATTGCCCGACTACGAAGATCGCGTTCGTGATAATGGGAGGAATAGACGACTCCCGCATGAGTGCTCGCGCCTGATGACTCCTATCATCATGAAAGAATGGAAAGTGATCAATCTAACTGCCAGGCCGGCATGCAGGTCGTTGAAACTTTCTCGACGAACAAATCGTATCAAACATTTGGCCGAGGTTTCATTCACGGTTCCCACGTAGTTGAGCGCTCTCGAACACGGTGGGCCACCGTGAGGCGACCGTTGGTAACCTCTCATACTGAAGAGCAACCATCTCGCACTGTGAGATGCAAGCACCCACGCACAAGCGGAGACACATGCACACTTCCAATGGCCTCGAGATTGGGCAGCGGCAGGGGCTGAGGAAACCGTGGATGACATGCTCCCGGTATTAACACGGCGGCTTTGGCGCAGTAGGTAGCGCGTAGGTCTCATAATCCTAAGGTCGCGAGTTCGATCCTCGCAGGCCGCACTCTATCCGATAACACCCGAGGAGGAGGTTTATGAGCTCCTCTTTGATGAATCGGGTTGACGTGGCATAGCAAATGTCAGCTGTGGGATTCGAACCCACGAGGATCTCTCCACCAGAACTTGAGTCTGGCGCCTTAGACCGCTCGGCCAAACTGACTCCGAAAAATCTGCATATATGACACTATCCAGCAAACCGTTTGTGATGGGCGAGATGTACGACGGATGCAGAAGACCGGAAAGATGAGTAGAGCATTACAATTCACCATCTCAGCTATCGAGAAGCGAGATCTTGTCGACCCAATATTCCGCAATAGACCAAAATGAATAACCGATGTCGGACGCCACCAGGGATCGTCTCGGATCCGAAAACTAGAGCCCAGTAAGATCTCCCGCCATACAAAACCCACAATCATTCCAGCCGAGGCATCGAGAATGCCGCGTTGCGCCGGGTATCTGCAGTTGGAGCCCTCCGGAATAGTACACGCCCAAATTGGACGTCCCGCAAATTTCCTTTTTCAATGACCTGAAACCACCGCCGACGAGGAGTCGTTATATGTAGGTGCAGCAACTCCACTCGACGAGCACCATCATACCACCTGCACGCATACACAAGCGCGCCAGCAAGTTGACTGGCGCGTGTGTACGCATGTACATGGCAAGAGTATCAGCATATTATCCGACAGTCGATCGTTTCGATGGCAGTATTAGGGGTAGGCGGCGAGATCGGGGTGCTTCCGACATTCATCACCGACAGTTTGGCCGAGTGGTCTAAGGCGCTGGCTTTAGGCGCCAGTCCGAAAGGGCGTGGGTTCGAACCTCACAGCTGTCACATTCCTCTGTCGTTGGTTCGTTGACCCCTTCTTTCTTGCACGACGATTAATACCTGGGTATATTATACCCGGTTTAATACTCGGAATCCCCGTCCGAAAGCGCCAAACTGCGACCCGAGGTCTAGATATGCTTCTACACTGAGTCTCTATACTGGCGTCGGCTCGGAATTGAAATAATAAATACATTCATCACTGACCTTCTGAACACTGGAAACCCCTCAGCGCCGAGAACGTGAAATTGGTCTTACTTGGTATTGTATCAGTCCTGATGAACGTTACCGACGCCGGAGAAGGGCATATCATCAGGCATGACTCAGGGGAAATGGCGAGTTCGGCTCCATGCCCTTTTGGCAACTGAACGCCTGACGCTCAATAGACTAAAATGAGATGACCGGAACCTGCGGAGGCTACCAACTCTCAGGCCTGAATGAAAGCTGTAGACGACAACATATTCCTCTGTCACCGCTGATAGAGATGTTGAGAATGACAGAAACTCTAAAAGCGACTCACCCCTGTATCCATCGGGCACAGGGATTTATCACATCATTCAATTGGAGCACATTTTCGAACTTGAACCACAAAAGGCGCCTTCGAAAGAAAGCTGCCCTAACCAACCCATCCGACAAGCATCTTGCAACCACACTCATCCACCAGCGTAGCCGTTCTATGCTACGACTACCGCCCTCATTTCCACAATTAAAGACTCGAACAAGAGAAACAATCATCTCACAACATCATTGCCGTTCCGACTGCATCATGCGAGTTCATCCCGGACCTTGCGGGACGAAGGCGCGAAAGCGTACCTGCAAAGACGTGAAGATTTAACGGTGGTGTCCCCTACCATTTATATAAACTAATTTATTATTTGAAGCGACGCAAGTCCTTCAATCAACTTTTTTCGGCCCTCATGCAGTATCTCGATGCTCGCAGGGGCTTATTGTAGTGCCGGGCAGGCACAACTTTTGGTTTTCCGCCTCTGTTTTGCACGAGGCCCACCATTGAATATTTGGCTGTCAACAAAAAAAATAAAATAAATATAAACAGGAGCAGCTGTAGCAAGCGTCGGAGGACTGGCGACTGGGACGGTGACCGCGAGGATGGAGGAAAATGCAGAACAAGTCGGTCGAAACCTTAGAGCAGGGAAGACGTGATGACTTATTCATGTATTGCTCGTTATTAAGGAACGTTTCAATCTTAGACGTGAAGATTGCAGAGTAGGCTGTGGCACCGTGAAGGTTAACCCCGGCCTTCCTCAAATGCCACCAGTATGTCCCGCGCTGTTGTTCTTCGTTTGACGACTCGCGCCAGCGGTTGAAGCTCAGCTCGACGAACACCGAGTAGGGAAACGACTGAAACTCTACTTGGTGAGGGCAGCACGTTCGCCATTTGCCGAAAATTGTACGCTCTGGACAAGGACACGAGCCAGCCCGGAGAGTGTGAAACCCGAAATGAAATTCTTGAGAATAGCCAATGAGAATGGCAGAGCCAACGAGGAGGCTTTCACGACGAGACGGCAACTTCAAATGGCATCAACTTTGACCCTATGAGAAAATCCAATCCAATCAAATCCCTATGAGAGTCGTGAAAAAGACTCATCCCTAGTTTAAGAACAAGAAGGTGGCACTCGAAATAGTAGGAAAAACGACTCCTGCATAAATGATCGCACCTGACGACTCCCATTATCATGAGAGCTGTGAAAATGACGAATCGAGCGGCCCGACTCGGCGTGTAATTCGTTGAAGTTCTCGAGACAGCTAAATCACAAAAGCAGATTCGGGCGAGGTTCCATTCATAGGCCTCACGTAACTCGTAGCTCTCAACCACGAAGGCCCCTCATACTGAAGCGCGAGGCGAGGTGATTCGGGCACGCATCCAAATGTGGACACATTTTCCCAGTAGTCGAGGAAGCCGTGGATAGAATGTTACCGGCAGCGCAGCACATGGCGGCTTTGGCGCAGTAGGTGGCGCGTAGGTCTCATAATCCTAAGGTCGCGAGTTCGATCCTCGCAGGCCGCACCATATCCGATAACACCCGGAGGAGGTTCATGAGCTCCTCTTTGGTAAATCCGGTTGACGTGGCATAGCAAATGTCAGCTGTGGGATTCGAACCCACGAGGATCTCTCCACCAGAACTTGAGTCTGGCGCCTTAGACCGCTCGGCCAAACTGACTCCGAGAAACCTGCATATATGACACTATCCAGCAGACCGTTTGTGTTGGGCGAGATGTACGACGGATGCAGAAGACCGGAAAGATGAGTAGAGCATTACAATTCACCCTCTCAGCTATCGAGAAGAGAGATCTTGCCGCTCCAATATTCCGCAATACACCGAAACGAGTAACCGATGTTGGACGCCACCAGCGATCGTCCCGGATCCAGAAAGTGGAGCCCAGTAAGATCTCCCGCCATACAAAACCCACAATCATTCCAGCCGAGGCATCGAGAATGCCGCGTTGCGCCGGGAATCTGCGGTTGGAGCCCTCCGCAACAGTACACGCCCAAGTTGGACGTCCCTGAAATCTCCCTTTTCAATGACCTGAAACCACCGCCAACGAGGAGTCGTTATATGTAGGTAAAGTGCAGCAACACCACTCGACGAGCACCATCATACCACCTGCACGCATACACAAGCGCGCCAGCGAATTGAGTCGGCATGTGTGCACGCATGTACATGGCAAGAGTATCAGCATATTATCCGACAGTCGATCGTTTTCGAAGGCCTTATTAGAGGTATGCGGCGAGATCGGGATGCTTCCAAAGATCATCACCGACAGTTTGGCCGAGTGGTCTAAGGCGCTGGCTTTAGGCGCCAGTCCGAAAGGGCGTGGGTTCGAACCCCACAGCTGTCACACTCCTCTGTCGTTGAGACCCATACATTTCGTAGGTTCGATTTAGATAGTGGCAATCTTGACTATCAGCGGCCTCTCTGGCGATTGGAAGACTCACGCAACCTTGCAAGGCTTCCACAACATCACCCACGTTCCAGTTGCATCATGCGGACTCATTCGGGGCTTCTCTTGACGAGGGCTCGAGAGAGGAACCTGAAAAAGCCTCAACGATCGCACCATCAACACCCGTACGACACCGAGAGTTCACCTCGCCTCTCCTTGGGTGCGACCGGTATGTCCATCGCCGCCGCTCTGTATGCATCCGCATACACTCTTCGCTGGAGGGCCAGCGCAAGAATCATCAGCAATAACGAAATGCCGATCCCGAGCGAGAAGGCTACTAACACTCTACCTGCCGAAGAGAAACACAATCGTTACCATAATGAAGCTATCGATGAATCGTAAGATAGTCAGAAAACGGAGCCTTCACGAGATGATAGAAACTGAGCGGAGCGATGCGAATTTTCACCAGTTTTTCGCGAGATGGCTCGCTCCTGTCCATGAGAGGTTTCCTCCAAGAGAGCGACTGCATTGATCTCGTCGACGGCGACATCCAGAAACTACAAACAGAAACATTCAGCGCCATTTCGCGCGCCACTTAATTCAACTTACTCTGACGAAGCGCGTTCTCAAACTGGCAGCCTCGCAGGGCTGGAGATCAAAAATGAAGAGTGAGAGCAGAATTATCGGACGGAAAATGGACATGGAGAAAGGTAATGGCTAGATCAAGGCGCAGCATCTTAGGTTGAACCGCGGAAGATACAAAATAGGTCCTGTCGGCGGGGTTAAACTCAACACCTCCCTTCGCTAAACCGTCAACTTCATACATGTTACACATAAATTCAACTTCAAGTTCTCAGACCTAAAACCAGCGCGACCCTTGCGAAACAGCGAACAGGTGCAGAGCCATGAAATCTTATGATGGGCATGACAAATCGCGCTCGCCATGTTGATCGATTTGTCTACCTCGGCCCATCCTGCGTTGTATTCAGATTCACCAGCAAAAGCCTCCTACCTTGTCAACAGTCATCTACGAAGAGCGCACGTCTCGGCATGTCGGCCGACTCGGTTGCAACTCGATTGAATTGGTCCTGAGCAAAATTCGACAACCGTCACGCCAACACTGCATTTATGGCTGCCATCTTGACGATACGATCAGCTGTTCACGCCCGCATAACATTTCGCGCGCCACGAAATTACTCACCTTCACAGAGCCGGCTCTTTTACGGGGCAACCATGGCGGGGACGAGACCTCCTTCGGTCTCTTCGGCGGCGTCGAATACCCTTCATCTACAAAGCGGAAAAAGGCACTTGGGCCAAGCACGAAGTTCTTCTCTGAAAAATAAGAAAAATTTTTTCCACAAAAAAGGCTCAGCAATGATCTACTGTAGCATGTTTGGATGTATCAAGTCTATTGCGTTCTTCGGGTAAAATATAGG